GTGCAGGGCCCGAGGGCCCCAAGGGCTTGGACCATCCTCCACCGCTTTCCCAGGTGCATTAGCAGGGAGCTGGATGGGACGTGGAGCAGCTGGGACTTGAATTGGTGTCCGTATGTGATGCCAGTGTCACAGGTGGCAGCTTTACCCACTGTGCCACAGTGCTGGGAACATAAAAAGAACTTTTTTCTTAGGATTTATTTATCTTTCTTTTTTTTTAAGACTTACTTATCTTTATTCCAAAGTCAAGTATATAGAGAGAGGAAGAGAGACAGAGAGGAAGATCTTCCATCTGATGATTCACTCCCCAAGTGGCTACAACAGCCGGTGCTGCGCAGATCCAAAGCCAGGATCCAGGAACTTCCTCCAGGTCTCCCATGCAGTTGCAGGATCCCAAGGCCACAAGCAGGGAGCTGGATGGGAAGTGGAGCAGCTGGGATTAGAACCGGCACCCGTATGGGATCCTGGCACGTGCAGAGCGCATACTTCGCCACTAGGCTACCACGCTGGGCCCACAGAGATTTTTTGGTTTTTTTGGCTTGTTTGTTTGAGAGAGAGAATTCTTAACACTGGAGCTGCCTCTTGCATTGGTACCTGGTTGTTTCAAGCACTGAGCCTTGCCCACCTGCTGCGTGGGATCCTGGTCTACTTGACTCAGGAAGAATGGTGTTTAATGCCCAGGTGCTCCCCAGGAGCTGCAGGAGCGAAGCCACGGGCCCTGCTGGCAGGCCCTCAGAGCCACACTGCAGAGTGAGCATTGCCACCACTGCCACCTGCCCGCGTCAGCCAGAAAGACGTGTGCCTGCTGAGACATGGCCCCGCCGCACTGGTCCCTGCTCAGCGTTCCGGGGAGAGTGGCTCCTGGCTCAGCAGCAGGCACTGTGGCAGGAGGGATCGCAGCCACGTGCATCTGGTGCCACGGCGGCCGTGCCAGGTGCGCACCGAGCATGTCCTGGGCAGCACCCAGGCCAGGCAGCCAGCACGGGGTGTTAATGGAGCAGCATTGTTCAAGGCCCATGGGAGAATCTGATCCCGGGCTCTTTTTTTTTTTTTTTTTTTTTTTTTTAATTAAGAAAAATTTTTTGATGATTTTTACATAGATGATTAGGGTGCAAGGGGTCACGGGCTAAAGGAAAGTAGGTAAGACCATTGCTTCTACATTCTCTTGCACTCTCTAGGTGCTTCTGCGGTTTAACTTGACAGAATTTGCCCCCTGTGCCAGCATCTTCCATCCGATGCTGCGGCAGAGCCTTACCAACCCACACCCACTCTGGCTTATGCATGCACCAGTAGGAACAGTCAACCCAGCCTGGTCTGCCCCCATCCCAACACACGCTCTCCAGTGGGAGTGGTGGTCCACACAGCCTCCCTACTGGGTTTGCCCCCTTTCCCCTTGGTCTCATGTGTGCTGGTTGGGTGCTGTGGCCCAGGTTGGCATGACCCGCCTCACCTCACCCATTTGCCAGTGGGTGATACAGCCTGGCAAAGCCCAGCCCACCCCTAATTCGAGCTCATGCTGGTGGGGGCTACAGCCTAGCCCAGCCCATCCTGCCCCCAGTCCTGGCCCCCATGTGAACTGGGTTGTGTTGCCACCCAACAAGGCTTGACCCACACTCCATTCTGTCATCCAGATTCACCAATGGGTGATGTGAACTGGCCCAGCCTGGTTGCCCCAGACCTGAGCCAAATACATGCCGGTAGGTACCATTCGCTGGCCTGGCCTGGTCTGGACTGCTCCCTGTCATGGTTCTTTTTTTTTTTTTTTTTTTAAAGATTTATTTTTATTGGAAAGGCGGATATACAGAGAGGAGAGACAGAGAGGAAGATCTTCCGTCCGGTTGTTACTGTTGGGTGTTACAGCCTGGCCAAGCCGGGCATGCCCAGATCCAGTCCACACTTGTGCTGAGGGACACTGCAACCGTGTCCAGACCAGACAGCAGCCCCCACTCTGTCCCTCACACTCACAGCGGGAGCCACAACCCTTAGCTCCCCAGCCAGGTCTGTACCCAGCCGAAGGTCTTGCATGTGCCAGTGCTTGCTCTGACCTAGCTTGATGCAGTCCCTCACCTGTCTTGGCCTTTTCCTGACCCGGCTGTCCCCAATCCCAACTCTCGCTGACAGATGCTGGCATTTGGCCCTGCCCAGTCTGGCATGACCTGCACTCCAGCCTGGTTTCTGCACTTGCCAGTGAGCTAAGGTTTACTCAGCCCTGCCCAGTTTGCCCCATTCCAAAACCAACCCACACGCTTGCCAATGGATGGAGCTACCTGCCCAGCTTGCCCAACTCCCAGGTCTGGATCACATGCTCACCAGTGGGAGCTATGACCTATAGGGGAGTTTCCCAGGTTCCCCCACTCAGCCCATTCCCAAACCCAGATCTCACTGCTCGAGCGGGTGCTAGGCCCTTGCCCAGCATAGCCTGCCCCTCCATCTTGACCTTTGTATGAGCTGGTGGATGTTGCAACGCGGCCTGCCCCACACCCTGTTTTAGGATGCACATGCGGGTGCTGCAGCCTGGACCTGCCCAGCTTGTTCTCGGCCCCTGTACCTTTGAGTGTTCTGTGATTCTGTGATCACACCTAGTTCAGCCCATCACCACCCCAGCTGTTTAACCAGCGGGACTTGTATTTCCACAGGGTTGGGCCCACTTGTCCCCCACAGAATCTACCTCACCCCCACCCCGGACCTGGTTAGTGTCATGGCTCTGCCTGATGTGACCTGTCCCGTGATTTGACAGTCAGGTACTGGGATCTAGCCCTGCTAGACAGGCCCCCAGCCCGAGCTTTCATGTGGGCCGGCATGTTCTGTGCTAACAAGTCCATCTCGGGACTCCCAGAAGGGCTGGGGAATCTATCTGACCCATAAAGATCTTCTGGTCTCTCCCCCTCCAAACCACCAGGTCCAGGTCTCAGTCCCCTCGCTTGCCTGCAAGTACAGTGGCCCTGTCATTGAGTGTCCCTCAGGATTCATTCCTCACCTGCACGTATGGTGGCTTTATCCATGAACGTCCCTAGGCCGTAATTTGATACCCCCTGTCCCCAGAGTTCATCAGGCCACGCTGTGCCCCGCCCATCAGCCAAAAGCAGCCGATGGAGCAGAGGTTGTGGTTCACATGCCTGGCTCCCCGGCTCTTCTTCATCCTAAAGTTTGACTGATTTGAAAGGCAGAGGAACAGGGCTTCCATCCATCCCCTGGTCCAATCCCCAAGTGGGCACAACTGCTGGAGCTGAGCTGATCCAAAGCCAGGAGCCAGGAACTGCAGCTGGCTCCCCCTCCCTCCCGCGGCTGCAGAAGCCCAAGCACTGGGGCAGTTTTCCAGTGCTTTCCCAGGTACGTCCAGATCCTCGAGCGGGAGATCCGGAGAGCCAGGTTCCAGAGGGAGCAGCTGGGACTGACATTGGACCTGACTCTCAGATGCAGAGTGTGGTGTCCCAAGCAGGAAGCTAACCTGCTAATGCCGGCCGTGAGTCCCTGCTGGGCCCTCACAGGACCTTCTCCTTACCCGACCGCTCAGGGACGCCTCCCCCTCTGGGCACCCTGGCCCAGTGGTCTGAATGCCACCACAGTGACATGCCCGGTGACAGTGACATGCACAGTGACAGCTCCTGCCCGGTGGGGAGCCCCCTCCGGACCCCGATCTTCTCCCACCTTGCTTCCCACTCGCAGTCTGTTCTCTCACGGACGATCTGTGGAGGTCACACCTCCTAAGGGGGTAACGTTTGTTCCATAGAATTCCGCAGAGCTCTCAGCTCCGTGCCCAGTCCTCCACGGCCCCCGTGGTGGCTCTCTTGGCATGTGCAGCCAGATGGCCCGCGTGCACAGCTCCGCTTGGGCTCGGTGGGCCCTCCTGTTGCAGAGCCGACCCAGTGAAGGCTGTAGGAGTCAGGCTGCCCCCTCGGGCCCGTCCACGGAGCCACAGCTCACTTCCAACTCGAGCTGGCTTTTATACAGCATTACCATCTGTTGTGCCGTCTGCTTATCCTTCATTTTCTGAGTTTATTTGAAAGGCGCAGCAAGCGAGACACTCACTCTGAGTCACATTCACACACGCACACACAGAACTCGAGTGACGGTGTGGGAGAGTTCCCATCTGCTGGTTGGATTTTAACATGCCCCACAGCCACCACGGTTTTCCCCGTGAGTGGCCAGGGACCCAGCCTCCCAGTCCTCGGCTGCCGCCTCCCAGTGTGTGCGAGAGCAGCGGGTGGGTCTGAAGTGGAGTGGCCAGGGCTCGGGCACAGGCGTGTCCAGCAGCGTCTCATCCATCACGTGGGGGGAGAGCATTCAGTCGTGCGATGCCATGGCATGTTGATCCACTGGTGGGTACTGGGTCCACGCTCAGCACTTTGGCAAGACCGTGCCTGAGTCTTGTCACCAGTTTTACACGGAAAAAGGTGGTTCGGGGATGGCAGTGTCTGTGGCTTGTGACCGCAGCGCCCTCTAGGGGAGAGCAGCGGAAGCCCGCCCCAGTGTTTGCCCACGTGGGAGAGCCGGATGCAGTCCCAGGCTCCTGTGGTCCTTTGCAGAGACCAGGGAACGAAAGATCTTGATCTCTCTCCCTCATCACTCTGCCTTTCAAATCAGTAAATCTTTTTTTTTAATTGAACATTATGTGTATTTGTTATTCCTACTCTGTTTATTAGCAGAAATCCTCCCATGACAAGCTGAAGACGGAGTGTGTACCTGTGTGTACACGTGTGTGGGGGTGTGTGCGTGCACACGTCTGTGGGTACTCTGTGATTCTTCATCAAAGGTGAAGAGTTTATTCGCCCTGTTACTGCTGCCAGGTCCTTCCAGAACTGCCTGGGGGAACCCCTCACAACCCCACCTCCCAGCCCCGCCAGTGTTGGGGCAACCTGTGTGCCGTTGTAAGTCGCCAGTCCCCACTCTGGAGTCTGGATTCTCCCAGCAGCACACCCCAGGTCCAGAGCGCCTGTGGGTGTGAGCTGCAGCCCTGGCTCGTGCGGCTCGTGGCTCACTAAGGTGCCTTCTCTGCATTTCAGGCCAAGTCGTGCGTGTGCCACGTGTGTGGCGTGCACCTGAACCGGCTGCACTCCTGCCTCTACTGCGTCTTCTTCGGCTGCTTCACCAAGAAGCACATCCATGAGCACGCCAAGTCCAAGCGCCACAACCTGGGTGAGCCCCCTGCGCACTGTGCCTTCCCCAGCGGGCTGCGTGCCGGAGGCCTGTGCTGGAGGGCCCAGAGACGTGCAGGTGCTCCCCCTTCGCTGGATGACTACAGCAGCCCAGCGCCGGACCGGGGGGAGCCAGGAGTCCCGTCCGCGTCTCCTGGCTCACTGGGCCATGGTCGGCGGCCTCCCAGGCACATTAGCAGGGAGCCAGATCAGAGGCAGAGCAGCTCCATTCCGGTATGCAAGCATCAGAAGAGTGGCTTAGCCAGCGCCTGGTGCTGACTTTTTTGTTACGTTTTGGAAGTCAGATGTTTGCAGCAGCCAGCACTGGGCCAAGCCCGAGCCGGGAGCTTCTTCCAGGTCTCTCCTGTGGGCACTGCTTCCCCCCAAAGCATTAGCAGGGAGCTGGATTGCAAGTGGAGCAGCCAGTGTTAGAGAGAGTAGCTTTAGCTGCTATGCCACAATGCCAATTCGATTCTCAGCAGTTGAGGGCAGATGGTGGGCAGGTCCTGGCCGGTGGGCCGCCTGGGCTGCCTGTGGGCATGGTGGGCAGGTCCTGGCCGGTGGGCCGCCTGGGCTGATGGTGGGCATGGTGGGCAGGTCCTGGCCGGTGGGCCGCCTGGGCTGCTGGTGGTCGTGGTGGGCAGGTCCTGGCCGGTGGGCCGCCTGGGCTGCCTGTGGGCATGGTGGGCAGGTCCTGGCCGGTGGGCCGCCTGGGCTGCTGGTGGTCGTGGTGGGCAGGTCCTGGCCGGTGGGCCACCTGGGCTGCCTGTGGGCATGGTGGGTAGGTCCTGGCCGGTGGGCCGCCTGGGCTGCTGGTGGTCGTGGTGGGCAGGTCCTGGCCGGTGGGCCGCCTGGGCTGCTGGTGGTCGTGGTGGGCAGGTCCTGGCCGGTGGACCGCCTGGGCTGCCTGTGGGCATGGTGGGCAGGTCCTGGCCGGTGGGCCGCCTGGGCTGCCGATCGTCGTGGTGGGCAGGTCCTGGCCGGTGGGCCGCCTGGGCTGCCGATCGTCGTGGTGGGCAGGTCCTGGCCGGTGGGCCGCCTGGGCTGCCTATGGGCATGGTGGGCAGGTCCTGGCCGGTGGGCCGCCTGGGCTGATGGTGGGCATGGTGGGCAGGTCCTGGCCGGTGGACCGCCTGGGCTGCTGGTGGTCGTGGTGGGCAGGTCCTGGCCGGTGGGCCGCCTGGGCTGCCTGTGGGCATGGTGGGCAGGTCCTGGCCGGTGGGCCGCCTGGGCTGCAGGTGAACAGGGATTAGGCCTAGTCGAACACGCTGCAGAAGTGTGCAGTGTAGGCTCCCACTGGCAACCGTACTGACCAGTGGGCCCCTGGCTGCTTGGAATGAGTAGGTGTCAGTAACGTTTGCTTTGAGAGAGCAGGGAAAGCCGCCACCTACAAAGCCAGCATCCCATCGGGGCGCTGGTTCAAGTCCCATCTGCTCCGCTTCCCGGCTAGCTCCCTCACCCTATGCGCTGTTGTCTTTAAGAACCATTTTATTGCATGAAACAAATATTTGAATCTGAAGCTGTTGTTTTTTTGTCGGGGGGAGGGAGTACTTTTTCCCTTTTTTTTTTGCATTTATTTTAATAATTGTTTTAGTTTTTGCAATGATTACATGGTTAATCGGCATGGGAAGGATTGAGGTTTAGGGAAAATTGGGTGAACTCATTGTTTCCAAATTCGCCATTTCTTCTTGTTGTTTCTGGGGAAAGGAAGAAGATAGAGGGGGAAGCCGCACACGTCCAGTAGATGAGGAACGGCCACCTCACATGGACCCAGGGCTCCGTGTGGACATGCTCCAAGGGGCTTGGATAGTTCTGGAATGCTGTCGATTTCCCCAATCCAAGGGTGACGTCACCCTCCCGGTGTCCAATGACTGACATAGGAAGCCTCGAGTCTCCATTCACCGAGGTTTTTTTTGCTGTCATCGATTGGCTGGGGTAGTTCGTTCTGTTCTCTTTTTCTGCTACGGCACCAAATGAGCTGCCCTGTTCTCCGTGTGCATCAGGGCCTGTGTCCATTGCTCCGGCTTTTTCACTGAGGAGGGCGTGTTCTTGCAGGCAAGCCCAAGGACCCGGGCCAGGGGTCCCAAGCCTCACTGGATCCCCCGTCCCCAGGGCTCACGAACCCTGCAGCCACCTCGCAGGCAGGCCAAGAGACCTGGGCCAGGCAGCCCGTGCCCCTCCAGATTCCCCGCCCCTGGGACTTAGGAACCCAGCAACCCACCCCCTTGCAGGGGGGCCTGAGGACCCGAACCCCCCGGATTCCCCACCCACGGGGCGGGAGTAATTTTCAGTTATCAGTGTGTGTGAGGAAGAGAGATCTGTATTTTGAGCCGCCAGCCTGGAGAGGCGGAGCCTCGGCACTGGCCAGCGTGCCTCAGTTGTCTGAGCCAGTTGGGCTTGCCTCTCCGGACCTGCTGTGAGGCAGGGGTCTGGTCTCACTGCGTGGGCCGTGCGTTGCCAGTCCCTCGCCCCCCACCCTGTTTACCAGGCCCTGGCACACTCGTCGCCAGCCTCTCAACCTGCCAGGCAAGGTTCTCTTCTCCGTGCTGTCTGGGCACTCTGGGCCACATACCCGACTCCAAGCAGGCACCACACCATTGTGGTTCCCAGAGTTCTGTAACTTTAAACTCAGAAAGTACAGTGGACGCCACCCAGCCCCAACCCAGTCCACAGGCACAACATCGCATTCCCTCTATTCGGAGCTCGTCCGAGTTCTGTACGCCGTGTTTCGGTCACATCCACCTAAATTCACTCCCCAGCATTATTGCAGCTATTTGGGAAATGAGCCAGCAGATGGGAGATCTTTTTCTCCCTCTGTAAATCTGCGTTTCCAATAGAAATAAATAAATCTCAACTGCTTTCTCAGGCCATAAGTAGGGAGCCGGATGGGAAGTGGAGCAGCCAGGATATGAACCGGTGCCCAGATGGGATCTTAGCGCGTGCAGGATGAGGACTTGAGCCACTAGGCTGTTGAACCAGGCCCATAAATGTATATAGGAAGAAAGAAGGTATACTAGGGACTGATCACCCAAGCTTTAATTCACTTCCCAAACGCTGCTCACAGCCAGGGCTGAGCCGGGCCACCGTTGGGAGCCAGGATCTGCCTCTCGGTTTGCTGTGTGTGAGGCAGGGGCCCACGGACTTGGGCTGTTGCCTGCTGTCTCCAAGTGCATCAAGCAGGGAGCTGGGCTGGAAGTGGGACAGCTAGGACTCCAGCCAGCATCAAACGGGGGGGTGCAGCGGCCCATGAACCTGCCAAGCTCTGCCACTGTGGGGTTTTATTCATGTCCGTTACCATGTCGAGGACATGCCTGTGCATGCCTGTTTCATGCAGTGTTTTTATCGTGTTGAGTTTTGCAGGACACTTTGCATGGGTGAGAGTGCATTCTGCAACTGCACTGCGTTAGCTGACCGTCTGCCTGGTTGATTGCTTTTCCTGGATCCCGCCAGTCCTGCAGGACGGTTGATGGGTCTTCCTGTGGCCCGCCATCCTGCTGGACTGGTTGGTTGTGTTGTGTTCAGCTGTCCCAGAGCCCTGCCCCTCGGTGTGCCACTGGTGTTTGAACCGTTGGCTCCGTGCTTGCACGGGCATTTGCCAGCGGTCCTTGTGCCATGGCCTCGCAGAGCGGGCAGAAGCCCCTTGTTGCAGGCGTTGGGATGGGGCGCTGTCACCTGTGTGTGTGACGCCCGGAAGCCACGGGTTTGAAGGCTGTGCTGAAGTAGTCTCCTGTCGTGGGCCAGTAGAGGGGACTGTGGGTTTGCAGGAATTAATTGTTCCGTGTGGGCTGGCGTGCAGTTGTTCGTAATGTTCTCTCGGTAAGGGGTTTCACTTCTATTTTTAGTTATTTGAGTCTCCCCATCGTCAGGCTGAATGTCAGCTTTGCCTTTGGTTTTTTCCCCTATCTACTTGAAAGGCAGAGTTAGAGCCGCTCCATCTTCTGGCTCACTCCCCAGATGGCTGGGGCTGAGCCAGGTTCAAGCAGGAGCCTCAGCTGGGTCTCACACACAGGGAGCAGGAACCCGGGTGGCCGCTGGCTAGGACAGGGAGAACAGGGTGGGGCGCACAGCAGAGGGGCAGTGCGCCCACCTGCGTGCAGGCGTGGCCGTGTGTGTGCGCCCGAGTGCTGAGCCCCCCGCCCTTCACTCCGCAGCCATAGACCTCATGTACGGCGGCGTCTACTGCTTCCTGTGTCAGGACTACATCTACGACAAGGACATGGAGGTCATTGCCAAGGAGGAGCAGCGGAAGGCCTGGAAGATACAAGGTGTGCTGGTGCGCGGGGCTCCCGCGCGTGGGACCCTTCCCTCTCCATGATGCCCTACATACCCGGGGCTGAGAAACGCAGGGCCTGGCATAAGGCGAACAGGAGTGTGCCCTGGCCCTCCTCCACTGCCTGTCCCTCTGGCTGCGGCTGCTCGGCTGGGGTTTCCCTGGGCTGGCTCAGAGCCCTTTTGCCCTCTGCTGACTGACACATGCGCACACCGGGCATTGCCCTGGGAGCTGCTGCCGCTGTCTCAGCATCCATGGGGCTGGAAACATTCATTTGTAGGCACTGGTGTCAGGGTAGCAACGCCCGGAAGCCCTGCTCTCCCAGCCAGGAGTCGCAGACACACAGAACCACAGGGTGTTCTCAGGGTACACACACGGAACCACAGGGTGTTCTCAGGGTACACATACACGGAACTGTAGGGTGTTCTCGGGGTACACACACACAGAACCACAGGGTGTTCTCGGGGTACACACACACGGAACCACAGGGTGTTCTCAGGGTACACACACACGGAACCACAGGGTGTTCTCGGGATACACACACACGGAACCACAGGGTGTTCTCGGGGTACACACACACAGGGAACCACAGGGTGTTCTCGGGGTACACACACACAGGGAACCACAGGGTGTTCTCGGCGTACACACACAGGGAACCACAGGGTGTTCTCGGTGTACACACACAGGGAACTACAGGGTGTTCTCGGCGTACACACACACGGAACCACAGGGTGTTCTCGGGGTACACACACACGGAACCGCAGGGTGTTCTCGGGGTACACACACAGGGAACCACAGGGTGTTCTCGGGGTACACACACACGGAACTGTAGGGTGTTCTCGGGGTACACACACACGGAACCACAGGGTGTTCTCGGCGTACACACACACGGAACTGCAGGGTGTTCTCGGGGTACACACACAGGGAACCACAAGGTGTTCTCGGGGTACACACACACGGAACCACAGGGTGTTCTCGGCGTACACACACACGGAACCGCAGGGTGTTTTTGGCGCGTGTGCACACACGCTCTATCCCATCCCCCAAGAGCACCTGCCCCTGGCCCGGTCAGCCTGACCACAGGAGGCTTCAGACAGCCTAGAGGTTACAGGCGTCCTCTCTCAAGTGAGCTGGACAGTGTCACACAGCCCCACCTTTTTTTTTTAAACCTTAGGCTTAAAGAAACTGGGAGAAGGGAGGAAAAGAAAGAGAGAGAGAGAGGCAGAAAAACACTGACAGAGATCCAGAGGAATCCAGTTGCAGTAACTTCTTGCAGGTCTCCCACGTGGGTGCAGGGTCCAAGCACTTGGCCATCCTCCCCTGCTTTTCCAGGCCACAAGCAGAAAGCTGGATCAGAAGCAGGGCAGCTAGGACTTGAACCAGCATCCCTATGGGATGCTGGCGCCTCAGGGGACGGCCTTACCCACTGTCCCGGCGCACCAGCACCCTCAGCATGCTTTCCAGAGGGAACACACCTGGTGGAAGCAGCCAGCAGTGGGAGCCGCTCTCTCCGGGAAGCAGGAAGACAAGAGGTCTTTGGTTCACAGTTCTGTGGGTGCCAGGTCCACGCAGCTCGCAGGCACCCCTGCACTGCCTCACAGTGGGAGCCCCCACGCGTCCCCCTGCAGTGTTCTCAGCTGATGGCGCCCATGCAAAGGAGAAAGAGCCCGGTCCCTCCCTCTTGTGCCCACAATGGTCAGGGCCAGCAGGCCACAGCCAGGAGTCTCCCACGTGGTGGCAGGGAGCTGGGGCCCACATATTGGGGGGCTCCCACATGGGCTCCTTCACCCCTACCCCAAACACTCGCCCAGCTCTCTGATCCCAAACGTGTTGGTGTTCAAACCCGGCCTTGGGTGCATCCTAGGAGTCGGGGAGAAGTTCTCCACCTGGGAACCGACCAAGCGCGAGCTCGAGCTGCTGAAGCACAACCCGAAGAGGAGGAAGATCACGTCCAACTGCACCATAGGTGGGCGGGGCGGGGAGGGTGGCATCACCGCCAGCTGCACCACAGGTGGGCGGGGCGGGCGGCATCACTGCCAGCTGCACCACAGGTGGGCGGGGCGGGGAGGGTGGCATTATAGCCAGCTGCACCACAGGTGGGCGGGGGGCTGCTGAAGGAGAAAGGCCACGTCCATCTGCACCATAGGGGGCAGGGCAGCCACGGAGTGGGGCCCAGCAGAGAAGGGGCTGCAGTCGGGGGGAATGCCGGCGTGTGAGAAAGGTGGAGGGGCAGAGAAAACCGAAATGCCTGCGGCATCTAGGGCTGAGCCAGGTGGGAGCCAGGAGTTGGCAAGGGTCCCACCTGGTGCCTCCGGGCGCCCTGGCCAGCAGCTGGATCCCAGGCACCCCTGTGTGGGATAGTTGCCCACGCGAGCACATGCCACCCTACCCAGCCATCTCACACGGCCTGCTATTACGAAAAAGGCACTTAGGTGATCCGGCCTACGTTGAGTAACCAAGGGATTAGGGGGGGTGGGGTGAGTGCTGCCAGGCTTCGCGTGCCCTGTGAGTGTGTGTGTGAGTGAGCGTGAGTGCAGGCACGTCCTGCGGGTGGCGGGGCTCGTGCCCTGTAAGCCAGCGTGGCAGTGACGGCCCGCGCTGCCCCCTGCAGGTCTGCGGGGGCTCATCAACCTGGGCAACACGTGCTTCATGAACTGCATCGTGCAGGCGCTGACCCACACGCCGCTGCTGCGCGACTTCTTCCTGTCCGACCGGCACCGCTGCGAGATGCAGAGCCCCAGCTCCTGCCTGGTGTGCGAGATGTCCTCTCTCTTCCAGGAGGTGCGTGCTGCGGGGCCGTGGGCAGGCGCTCCCTGGGAGCTGAGGGCCAGCGCCTGGCGCCCCTCCCCCTGCTGTGCGTGTTTGTGCCGCATCTAACACAGTGGCAGCAGGGCTGTACTCGCTGCTCAGATTCAGCTCAGCGCAGGTACTTGATGACAGAGTGGAGCAGGGCCTAGAGCTGCACACGTGGGGGATTCAGCCGCTACTTCTGTTGGCACCCCGCTCCCTGCGGGATGTGGCCCTGGGCCAGGTTCGCCCCAGCAGCTACGGAGCGCTGGCAGCCTCAGACACAGGAGCCCCTGGGTGGAACCAGCAAGAAAGGAGCAAGACTAACTCTGCGACTTTCTAGTAACAACGGGGTATGTAGACGCTTCAGAAAGCTAATGGGAAATTCGGTAAGGGCAGTTTGATTTGGACACACAAAGTGTTGCAGTCGAGGGCTGGTGTTGTGACATCGGAAGTAAGCCACGGCTTGCTATGCCAGCGCCCTGTTGGTAGTGCTTGGGGTCCCGGCTGCTCCATTTCCAATCCAGCAGCCTGCTCTGTGTGCTTGGGTCCCTGCACCCACGTGTGACACACCCAGACGTGGCACCTGGCGCTGGCCTGGGCAGGCCTCAGCATCTGCGGCCACCTGGAGAATGAATGAATGTGTGGAAGATCTCTCTGCCCCTCCGCACTCAAACTCTGACTTGTAAATAAATAAAAGCTTGGAATCCATGCCTACCTTTTTAAATTTTATCTATTTAAAGGGCTGAATAAAAGAGTTCCTCCATCCTTTGGTTTATTCCCCAAATGGTTGAAATGGCTGGAGCTGAGCCCATCAGGAGCCAGGAGCTTCTTCCGGGTCTCCCACGCGGGTGCTGGGTCCCAAGGCTTTGGGCCGCCCTCTGCTGCTTTCCCAGGCCACAGGCATGGAGCTGGATGGGAAGTGGAGTAGCTAAGACATGAACCTGTGCCTGTATGGGATCCCAGCGCATGCAGTGGAACAATTAGCCAGTCAAGCCATTGTGCCGGGCCTGTATCTTTTTCATACTATTTTCTGTGATTTTTGTTTTATTTTTTAATTGAGAGAGACAGGCTTAGCTCCATTCCTCTGGTTCATTCCCCAGGTGCCTGCCGTGGCCAGAGGGGGCTGGGCTAATCCCTGGAGCTGGAACTGAGTTAGGGTTTGCTGGTGAGGGCCGCACAGCTGCCTCCGCAGTGGGCAGCTGGGTCCCCAGGGGATGGCTGTGCCACATGGGCTTGCCCTCTTCTCTCCGAGCAGTTCTACTCGGGACACCGGTCCCCACACATCCCGTACAAGCTGCTGCACCTGGTGTGGACGCACGCGCGCCACCTGGCGGGCTACGAGCAGCAGGACGCTCATGAGTTCCTCATCGCCGCTCTGGACGTCTTGCACCGGCATTGCAAAGGTGGGTTAGGCACCTGGCAGAGGGCCAGGTTAAGGTCAGACCCCGTGGGTTTGCAATGCACTGCACTTTTTCTAAAAAGAGGAAACGGGCTCTGACGTTGCCCTCTGATCTCTGTGACCCATCTCAGGATGGGGTGATCTCAGAGGGCAAGTAGGAGTAGCAGGCACAGAGAGCCCGGGACAGAGCCACACTCTGAGGTCCCCAGATGCCGCAGCCAGTTAGACAAAGGCGGGACCTGCTTGGGAGTGTGTGGCCACACTGGGACACAAGGAGTCTCGAGTGTCCTGTGAGGAAGGGAGGCCCTGTGGCTGCCTGGGCCAAGGCCTAGGGGTCTTGGTGAGTGTGAGGGAGGGGATACCCAGCCACCAGGATGCCCCACTCGGCACACACCTGTTGCCCAAGCTCAGCCATGCCAGGCTCTGGGGGACCCGGCTGCCCTGGGGACGCAGACACTGATCCAGCACCCTGGGCTGCCCCAGGTGACGACAATGGCAAGAAGGCCAACAACCCCAACCATTGCAACTGCATCATCGACCAGATCTTCACTGGGGGGCTGCAGTCGGACGTCACCTGCCAGGTCTGCCAGTAAGTGTGCGGGCACCTGTGGCACCTGCTGGTGCAGTATACTAAAGCCCTAGGCAGAGGCTGTGGGCAGACACTCGCACTCTGCGGGGAGCGGATCGAGTACGGGTTTGATCCTGCAGAAGGAACCCCGGGCGGCTGCCGGCGTGCATGCAGGGGCTGCTGAGCCTGGCTCTGGCCCTCTCAGTACTGAGCAGACTCTGGGGTCTCCACTGTCCCGTGGTGGGAATGGAGTGGGAGGTGGATGTGCAGTGCCCAGGGAAAAGGTGGATCCGAGGGCCTGGGATCAGCGGGCTTCAAAAAACCCCAAGGAACAGCATGACCTCCTGGCTTGGGCAGCTCGCTTCCCGACCATCCGCACCGGGGCCACCTGTCCTCCTTGGGCTCCAGGGTGAGGTGAGAGGAGTGCAGGGCGGACCTCAATGCCTCTCCCTCCCTGTTTCCTCCCCGCCTTCCCACCAGCGGCGTCTCCACCACCATCGACCCCTTCTGGGACATCAGCTTGGACCTGCCCGGCTCCTCCACGCCATTCTGGCCCCTGAGCCCGGGCAGCGAGGGCAGCGTGGTCAATGGGGAGAGCCATGTGGCGGGGACCACCACGCTCACCGACTGCTTGCGTAGGTAAGCAGCCTGAAGGCCCCACCCCATCCCCCGTGGGCCACTTCTGTTGGCTGTCGCTGTGATTAAAGTACTCACAGTGGGGATGGCTCCCACTCAGAGCTGCAGGGGCCTTGGTGGGGACGTCGGAGTAGAGTGCCTTGTGGACGCACTCAGACCCTGTCTGGCCACAGCCCTGAGTGCTTGCTTTCACCAGTGGGTGTGGGAGGGGATGGCAGGCCTGCTTTGCTCCCAGCGTATACCAGTGCCCGTGGGTGCCATCTGCCCCCAACTGCACGTCACACCCTCCCTTGAATCTCCCTCCCCGCTGCTACCCCACTACCCCGCCGTCCGCCCCCACCTCTGTCCTGCAGATTCACCAGGCCAGAGCACCTGGGTAGCAGCGCCAAGATCAAATGCAGCGGTTGCCATAGCTACCAGGAGTCCACCAAGCAGCTCACCATGAAGAAGCTGCCCATCGTGGCCTGTTTCCATCTCAAAGTAGGTCTGACGGCTGGACAGAAGGCCCTAGTGTCTGGGCCCGCACTGCCACCCTCAGCGTGCACCGGCCTCAGTGCGCAGTGGGAGCGAGGAGGGGGTAGCTGATTCCCTCCAGCCGCCTGGCCGGGCATAGCTTTGGGCTTAAACCGAAATACCCCATCACAGCCAGTGGCCTTGCAGGCTGCAAGCAGCTTTGTCTTTTGCAATTTATTTTGTGACTTATCCACATATATATATGTTCATATATATTGAAAAAATAAATTTACAGAGGGAAGGCTCACTCCTCAGATGGCCACAACGGCCGGAGCTGAGCCAATTGGGAGGAGCCAGGAGCGTCTTCGGGGTCTCCCACACAGGTGCAGGGTCCCAAGGCTTTGGGCCGTCCCCGACTGCTTTCCCAGGCCACAGGCAGGGAGCTGGATGGGAAGTGGAGCAGCCCGGATATGGGATCCTGACACTTGTAGGCAGAGGATTAGTCAGTTGAGCCAACACACATGCCTATTTTTCTTTCTTCCTTCCTAATTTACTTACTTGAACGGCAGAGTGATGAGGGAGAGGCCAATTTCTGTGCACCAAGTCACAGAGGAAGAGCAAAGAGACTGGTGCACTCCCAGATGGCCACAATGGCCAAGACTGGGCCAGTGCCCATGTGGGCTGCGGGCACTGCAGGCCTTAGCTGTCCTGCTGAGCCACCGCGCCTGCCCCTTCCTGACTCCTGGCTGCTCTCTGCCGGGTTGGCCTTGCGGTGGAAGGCTGCCATAGGTCACCCTTGCTGTACCCCCAGAGTCCCCCCGATACGACCTATGTGGGCTCTGCCTTGTGCCCTTGCCCCGGGTGGCCGGGGGCGGCTCAGGGAGCCCCCGCTCAGCCCTCACCCTGTCCTTCCCCGGCCACCTGCAGCGCTTCGAGCACTCGGCCAAGCTGCGGCGCAAGATCACCACCTATGTGTCCTTCCCCCTGGAGCTGGACATGACGCCCTTCATGGCCTCCAGGTGGGCACGGGCTGCCTGGGAGGGTGGCTGGCGGCCAGCCACGGCCTCCACAAGTTCTTTGTTATTTTCAGTTTTATGTTCTCTAAGAGGTTTATTTTTACATAAGGGAGTTACAGAGGGAACTCTGAGGGGGAGAGATGGAGATCTTCCGTCCACTGGTTTGTTCCCCAAATGGCCTCAGTGGCTGGAGCTAGGCCAGTCTGAAGCCAGGAGCTTGTGGCCTCATCCAGAACTCCCGCGTGGGTGCAGGGGCTCAAGGTTTGAACCATCCTCCGCTGCTTTTCCAGGCCACAAGCAGAAAGCTAGATAGGAGGTGGTGCAGCCGGGACTAGAACCGGTAAGCATCGGGGGTGGTGGCTTAGCAGGCTGTGACATAAGCCATCGCGGCCCACGTGGTGTTAACTGTGGTGGGGTGAGTTCTCCTTGCACTTCCCACCGGGGTGGGGCTGCACTCAGCCACAGTCTGTCTCAGCTGCACTCTCCCTGAGCAGCCCACACCCCCTCGGGAGAGGACCATGGTGGAAGCACCAGGAGACGTGGCCAGGCGTGGGTACAGGTGTTGGGGCGGGGCTGGTGTCCCCTCCGAGCTGTGCTGAGCAGCTCCGCTTGTTCCAGCAAGGAAAGCAGGATGAACGGGCAGTACCAGGCACCCACTGACAGCCTCAACAACGACAACAAGTGAGTCGTCCCTGCCCTCCCAGAGAGGGCACCCTCCCAGCCTGGGCCCTGGCGGGGCTCCTGGGGACAGGGGAAGTGCACACAGGTGCCGCCATGGAGTCAACCACCCCGCCTGCCTACTGCCAGGTACTCGCTGTTTGCTGTGGTGAACCACCAGGGGACCTTGGAGAGTGGCCACTACACCAGCTTCATCCGGCAGCACAAGGACCAGTGGTTCAAGTGTGACGATGCCATCATCACCAAGGCCAGCATCAAGGACGTGCTGGACAGTGAGGGGTGCGTCCCGGGCATGGGGCTGGAGGGAAGAGGGCCCCAAGCCCCAAGCCCCATGCTGCCCACATCCATGGCACCATTCGGGGAGATGGCCTGATGGCCCAGGCTGTGGGGTCTCACTCTGCAGTAGATGCTGCCCTGGTCTTGGGGGCACTTCCCTGGCCACCTCCCAGCATTTGCAGTGCCTACTTGGCCCTGCCAGGCCCAGCACACCAGCACCCATCTCTCCCATGCCCCAGTTGGGGTCCTGCCCAGGCCAGGCCTGCAGCAGAGCCAGCTGCTGGGAGCTGAGCGGGAGGGCTTCAGGTGGGGGCCTGTGGCCATGAGGACCACTCCTCGGAGAGCCATGGCAGGCAGCTGGCGGCGAGAGTCCTTGCCGAGCCAGGCCAGCACACATGTCTCTTCCCCCCAGGTACTTGCTCTTCTACCACAAGCAGTTTCTGGAGTACGAGTAGCCTCGTCCACGGCTGGCCAGGATGGACGACTGCCACACGTCGGCGACCTCGCAGGCGGCCCCGCACCCGGATCTTCACAGGGTGGCCGCGGCAGTGGCACAATGTGGGTGGGCTGTCCCTGCAGTGCCCTCACCCTGCCCCGGCCGCATACACCCAGGGATCCGCAACAGTGGACAGACGGCCCAGGGCTCCCACCAGCCCGCGTCACACTCCCTGCATGTTGGAAGCGCTGGCTGGTGCTGTCCAGGGTTTTCTAGAAATAGGCTTTCCCGACCCCTCCCTCCTCTGTTTCCATGGTGATGGGCCATGGCAGAGCCTCGGGCACCGAGTGCGGCCGGTTGTGTGCACAGGGTGGTGGCTCCCCCGCCCTCCCCGTGGGCTTTGCTTCCTACTTGGTGCTGTCTTCATGGCTGCCCTTCCAGAAGCTTCTGGGCCCAGGGTCTGCTGTTTGGTGGGTGGGTGGGTGGGTGGGTGGGTGGTCCCATTGGTCTCCTTCCTGGATTTTTCCCCCCTGGTTTTATATCCCAGTCCTGTCCATGGTCAGGGTTGCTGGTGGCTGGGGTGGCCGCCAGGCCGCTCGTGTGTTGCTGCGGGAGTGAAGCAGCCAGGCCGGCACCCGCCTGCGTCCCGTGCTTACGGGGGCCAGGATTTGCATGAACACGTCATTTCTCGCGGATCAGATTCTGAAACATTTGAAGCTGCAGAAGGTGTCCTCAGCTAAAGGCCAGAAGAGAATGGGCGGTGAGCCCCCGGCTGGGTGGGCAGCGCAGGGCCAGTGAGTGCCCTTGGCGACTGCAGCGTTGTCACCTGCACCGCGAGAACTTGCCGGGTTGATCTCCCAGTTCATCTCCCTGCGTTCAGCGAGGCCACAAGCTCATCTTCTGGCAAGGAAAGGCACCCTCCAGGATGCTTCTGGAAGGGCCTGCCTGCCGAGTATCCAGGTGCGGGGTGGTCAGGCCCACGTGCTGGCCTGGGGCTCTGCAGCGGGGCAGTCCTGGGCCCTGTGTTGCTGACCCGTGTCTGGGAGCCAGGAGGCCCCTTGGGCATCTGTCATTACCTGTTTCTGAGGTGCTCAGCATCTCCCAGCAAGACGAGTGGACCCGCCCTTGGCAATGCCCTGAGGCACCCGGAGGGAGCAGAGCCAGGCTTGCTTCCGCATGACCCCAGACCTCCCACACCGCTCTCACATTCCGCTCACTGCGCGTGCTTTCCGTCGTGTGACGTGCCGTGCCCCTGCCAGTCCCAGTGACCGTGTGTGCTCCTCACCCCAAGAACAGTTCGCCCTGATCGTGCCGTGCTTGGAGCAGCCCCTGGCGTCCCATGCCCCCTCCCAGCTTGTAGTCTATCCTCTCATAATAAAACTGCATCTCATTGAGACCGGCCCCTCCTGGTGGATGCGCCCTCCTCAGGGGCGCCAGGCACCTAGCCCAGCCATGGGCTCAGCGCTGGGCATGCCACAGCACACAGAGAATGTGTGGGTTGTGCAGTCCAGTGGGAACCTTCTTTCCCTCCATGGAAGCATCTGGAAGCCATGCTGTGTTCCTCTCAGTGACACAGCATCTGAGTTGGAGCCACTGTTGCAGGGGGTGGTCTCCCCAAGCCAGTAAGTGGACAGGAACAACCTAGGGTGGCACTGTGACATGTGCCATGCCTTGCACCCCAGCCAGCAGTGGGCTTCAGCTCAGGCGTGGAGTGTATCCTGCAGAGTCAGCTAGAGCTTCCGCAGGGACACGGGCCTGCCCCCTGGGACAGAAAGCCAAGCTGAAGGCAGAGGGGCAAGGCAGTGCCCTGCCACCCCGTGGGCCTTGGTATGGGGAGTGTGACTGCCCACCCTGGGCCCCAGTGCAGCTCAGACAAGCAAGCAGGCATGGGGACAAGGATCCACAACCAGCAGGGTGTCCACTGAAGGCCGACAGTCCTGCAGGAAGCAGGGACACAGGCCTTGAGATACCCACATGACTGCTACAGCCAGCGTGGGGCCTGACCCAAGCCAGGAGCCTCATCGGGGCATCCCGTGCGGGTTCAAGAACGCAAGCACTTGTGTTCCTCTGGGTCCTTTCTACAGGCTCTGCGTTTTTAAAGGTCATTTCTAGAAAGCCAGTGTTCTGGTGCAGTGGGTTAAACTGCTGTTTGAAATGCCGGCATCCTGTATCAGAGAACTGGTTCAAATCCTAGTTGCTCCACTTGATCCGGTTTCCTGCTAAAGTGCCTAGGAAGATGGCTCCTGTGCGTGCCTGGCCCAGGCCTGCGTTGTCACCTTTTGGGAAGTGAGTCAGCATGGAAGATCAGCCTCTCTCTGCCTTTCTGTCGTTAAGATGGATGAATACTCTACTGAAGATTTCATCTTACTGGAAAGGCAGGTCAGATTTACTGTTAGAAGGGGAGACGGATCTTGCATCTGCTGGTTCACTCTTGCGAGTCAGTCATGTGGGTGCAGAGTCCAGGGCTTTGGGCCATCTGCTGCTTTCCCAGGCCATGAGCTGCATGGGAAATGAAGCCAGCTGGGCTGGACCCAGTGCCCATACGGGATTCTGGCTTTTGCAGTTGGAGGATTAACCTGTTGAGCCACTGTTCTCCCATTTACCTTTTTCTTACTACAGGGCAGCGGTGGGCTAAGCCCTCCCACAGTGAACTTCTGAGACCATGACTGCTGCCCTTTCCCAGCTGAGGGAGTGAAGGCCAGAAGGGTTTAGGCAGTTTCCCAGGGGTGCTGTGAGCCAGGACAGGCACTCAGGTGGGTTCTTAAATCACTACCAGGAAAGTTAGACTTGGGGCAGGCCTTGTGGCATGGAGAGTAAAGCTGACACCTGTTCAAGTCCCGGCTGCTCCACTTGCAATCAGCTCCTTACTGATGTGCGTGGGAAAGCAGTGGAGGGTGGCCCGGATGCTTGACCCCTGTCACACCAGCTGGAGCAGGTGTCAGGTGGACATGCCAAGCCAGGCTCTCCCCACAGCATAACTGGTAAGGTTCCTCAGGGAAGGGGTCTCCCTGCAGCCTGCCCAGCACTGCCGAGACTGGACCAGGACCTGCTGCAGTGCCCGGGGTGCGTGGCTCCCCTTTGCATCCCTCACAGACTGACAAGGCCCCCCCGAGCCCACACCTGGGGCGGGTGACCTGGCGACAGCTCTTCAGACACAAGTGTTTGTTTCACAGGGAAACACTACCAAGAAGAGTTCCTCCTCAGAAGGCCGCTCAACAGTGCCCCTGCCCGCCTGCACGGGCTCCCCTCCTGAGCATGCCCCCTTGTCCACCTCACAGCCTGCTGGGAGACACGCACATGGGCCCTGCTTCCCGCTCTTCCAGGGAGAGGCGTGCCATTTGTGTTTGGGGAGAAACGGGCCCCTCCCGTTCCTGTTCTGACGTCTGCCACGTGGGCCCTCCCTGCAGCCCATTCTCAACGTTCCGAAATGAAAGAATGGTAGAGCCTCCGTGGGGACCCGGTTGCTCCTGCTCAGCTTCCCCCAGACCCGGTGATTCCAGCAAGTGCCTGGTCCACGCAGAAGGTGCAGGCCTGGGCTCAGCAGACTGTGGGATAGAGGGGGTTGTCTGGTTCCACCAAAGGGACTTCTGGGAGCTGGGCCAGCAGGTGCACATGGCTTTATTGCATGGCTCGGTGACATCACAGGCCGGTCGAAGTGGCCCACCTCTGACGCTGGCGTCTGCAGCAATCTGCCTTCAAGCGCCCGGGCTCCCCTCCCGGGCAGGTGAACACACAGGACCAAGGCCACCATCTGGGGCGCGCACGCACAGCTGCAGGGTCCGGGTGCCAGCGTGGTGTCCTTGGTTCTCTGCACCCACGTGGCCGGGCGTCTTGGGCGCACCCGCGCTCTCCTGGGTGGGCGCCCTGCGCTCGGGGAAGCAGAAGCTGCAGGTTTCCACCGGGTCGGGCGATGCACTTGTGGCGGGGCCAGCTTCCGTCGTGGGATCTGCAGGGGCAAGGTGAGAGGGCGTGGGCGGCGATGCGGCTGGGTCTGCCCTCTCCCTTCCAGCTGTAACCTCCCCCGGGTAGGGCGCCTAGAACCGCCCCAGGCTGGCTTTCGCGCAGGTGGGGTTTGCAGCCCTGTGTGCCCAGGCGGCCCCCAACGTGGGGGTGGGCGTGCGTCTCCGGAGCACCCTGCGGCCGCAGAGCTGCCTGCCAGGGACCTCTTCTCGCCTTGGTGTTTAAACACGATTTTGCCAGAGAGGTTTTTGCAAAATGCTGTCCCTCGAGACAGAGGTGGCCACAGGGCCAGGGCGGGGTCCCAGGCTCCCAGCTCTGCATGCACTCACCGTGGGACCACTTGGTCTGAGGTCTGCACCGCCCGGCTAGGGACTGGCAGGAGAACTGGTCCCCCCTCCTCCTGAGGAAGCAGGCCACCGCCAACAGGAAGCAGCAGATGATGGCGCACAGGCAGATGCCAAGGGTGCTGTAGACCAGGGCCAGCTGCTGGGCGCTCAGCCTGGACCCTGGGGGTGCTGCAAGGCACGCGTGGGGTAAGACCCCGAGCTCAGGACCTGTCCTCACCGCCTGCTCCTCAGACCAGCAGTTGTGGAAAACCTGATCCCTCTCCCCCCACCCCACCCCACCCGTGGCCCAAACAGCCCAATGCCCCACCCCTGCTTATGCATGCCCAGCTTCCCTGAGAGGCCCCTCAGTCCCATACAGGACCTGCAAGCTGCCACGTCCCACCCAACTGTCAGCCCAGCCCAGGGAGGTGCAAACCGGGAAACGGAATCAAAGGCAATGATTTGGTGCTTTAAAAAAAAACGCAATCCATGCACAAGGAGGTTGTTCAGGTGCGTGGACAAAGGCGTACACGGCACACAAAAGCAAGGCGTGGGATTCATGCCTTTTGGCACCAGCAGAAAGGTGCTTTCAGCGAAGTGTCTACACACTTTCCGAAGGCCCCAGAGGACCGGGCTAATCTTGGAGGTGGACAGATGGCCAAGACAGACCCATGGGTGCCACACCAGAAAGGACCCCTGTTCTCAGCCCAGCCCCTCCTGGGCCATGCATGGGAGGCCACACTGGGCCCTGGGCTGCAGGACAGGGATGCTGGGCTCAGCACTACCCAGATGTGATACACCCATGACCGCCTGTGTGCCCGGTACAGTGTCACACATGTGAGGCACACGAGGAATCCCACAGCTGACACTGGGGGCGGGGCTGTGCCAAAGCATAACAAACTCAGCTGTCACCGCAGCATCAGCACCCCAGAGGGCACCAGTTCAAGTCCCAGCTGCTCCACTTCTGACCCAGCTCCCTGCTTATGCTTGGAGAAGCCGCAGAGGATGGCCCTTCGGGGAGTGAGGGAACCAGCAGACTGAAAATATCTCTGCAACTCTGCCTTTCAAATAAACAAAACACATATTAAAAGAAAGCACAGAACTAGGAGTTTGTAAGGTGGCGGGGAAGCTGGCAGGACTCTGGGTCAGTCACCCTGTTTCGACTGGACAGGGAGGAGACGCC